AATGAGATTCTTAACCCATATTAATTAAGAATGGTTTCAAAGAATTAAATATTGTCTGAGCATTGCTATATGTAACATACTTCTGAATGAGTACTAAAAGTGGTAAAAGTAGAGTATGAATATTATGGAGACAAATATTATAACTCAATTTAGGAAAATAGTTCTTATATTCAGAACTGGCCAAAAACATTTCCAAATTTGTCCAAATTTACCTTAACAGTCTCTGTGAATTAGGGAGTATGGTTTTCTACTCTAATGAAGATTGAGAATAACTGGAGTAAACTAAAAATACCTCTAAAAATCCAGAATACTCACTATTGACATTTGATGAACAATTAACCAGGAAAGAATAAAATAATTTCATAGCACTGTTAATCTTCCCTTAAACTGAAATTGGTGTGAATTAGTTTGTAGTTGAACAAAAGATACAGTCACATACTTTGTCCAGCTAAATCCATAGCAAGGAAGGTAAAGCAGACATTAAATTGAAGCTGAGATTTAGAAGGCAGGTTCTGATAGGTTTACTAGGAAGAGATTTGAGGATTAGAGCAGAGTTAAAATTGCTATTCCAAGATGCATGTGATAATGAGAGGAAAACATTAGAACAATAAAAGGTTTCTAGGAAGCAAAAATGAGAGGAAGGTGGTAGGTGGTGACAAGTGAGGAAAATATTTGGAAGGATAGGTGGTTGTGATCAGAACGCTCAGATTTTTCAATTGGAGAAATATTAAATGATAAGAAGACCCAGGGATTGGGGTGTGTTAGAGGGTCCCCAGAGGAAAGCAGAGAAAGTTAAGGTCAAAGTCAAAGAGTCAAAATCAAACACCTAGTTACTTCATGGAGTCCTGAAAATGCTAGCAGATCAGTGTATGTAGAAAAACCTTGGTTATTTTAGATTTCTAGGTGGAAAGTTTCAGAGGCCCATACACACTGGCAAAGAGGAGAAGGTAAAATAGTGAAAGATCTAAACTCAGAAAGGAAAAGAGTAATCAAGGGATGGTGACAAAATGCTCATGGGTTTACAAGCAGTTAACAGACTGCAAAGCATGTAGGAAGGGTCTCTGCATGACCAAGGCCATAAGATTCTACGTGAGGTCCTCACAAAACAAATGTTATGCTTTACATTGTATTCCTGAACAAAATTACTTGCAGCATTAAGACACAAAAATTCTTAATTAAATAATGATGGGGACGGCATTCAGCTCATGAGATACTTAGTATGGAACTCTTTGAGCACCGTGAATCCAAGGATGGTCATCCTGAGGGAAATTTGAGTTTGGTAGGAAATTAAGACATTTTTAAAAGGTATTTTCAATATACTGTGGTATAACAAGAGAGAATATAAAGATAGGTAGGCTCTAGAAAAAAAAATCAGGATTAAATAGTGAGTTGGCCTGACTTCCCTTCCTCAGGGTGTTCACTGCTAGCACCATTGTCTTGTGTTGACTTCCTGCTAATTCTTACCATGTGAGACAGAGGAGTTGGTATGTGAATTAATTAATTTGAGTTGGCTTCAGTTTCATAAAAGGGAGGGTTTCTGTTCATAAAAGATTATTAATGGACAGAGGGCATGCCAGGTAAAAGAAGTTACAACTACAAGCAGTGAGAGTCACATTTTTTGAGGCAAAGGAAATCATGCCCCAAGAGCCACTCAAGTTTAAAAAGTAGTATTCTTCCTCACGTTGGGCTGAGGGAAAACTCAAATAATTCTTCGCTTCTATAAGCTCCTACCCCCAGGTATAGTAGAATGAAGCCTGCTAACCTGGACTCAGGCAAGAGGGGAAAAAATATGAAATAGGTGCATTAGTTCAAAACTGTTTTGAAAGAAAATAGAAGAATCATATGTGACTCAGGATGGCCAAAAGATTACACCAGCAATGACTTTTTGTTTTTTTTTTTTTCTAAATGGTTTATAGGAAGATAAATTGGTTCAACAAAAGAACTAAAGATTGCCAAATTTCTTCTTGTATCAAGTCGATATGGAGACACTCAAAGAAACTATTACAGGGCACTTGACAGAAGAAATCCAGAGGCCTAGAAACAAAAACTTTTGCAATTACTGATGCTTTAGAAGGGAAAGTATTTGTTTCTACAAAGGCACAGGAAAGTAATAAATAGGAATGTTTAAGGAAAGTTGCTTGGATAAATATTTCTAATTGAGTGGGATAAAAACAGTGCCATAAAATTAAATATCTTAGCAAATAAAAGCCAAGCCACTTCCTAGTGAAACTGACATGTTGAAAGTTGTTCTGAATCACATTTTTTCCCCATCAGTAACATACTTGTCAGTGTGTTTTGTCTAAATACTGCTTTATCTTTCCATTTCCTCTTAACTTACGAGATTAATTCTTAACCTAATTTGATATCTATTTCTGAAGAAATATTAATCAGGGATTTTGGAGTAACATACCATATTATCTTAAACCAACTTGTAAAAAGGAAAGAATATTCTACTCTCACACACAGAGTCATTAAATTGTTAAAAAATGTAAATACAACAATACTTTTAATATTAATATTTAAAAATTTTTTTGTTAGTTGTAGATGGACACAATATCTTTATTTTGTTTATTTATTTTTATGTGCTTCTGGGTATCCAACTCAGTGCCTCCCATGTGCAAGGCAAGCGCTGTACCACTGAGCCACCACCCTAGCTCCTTGTTGCTTTGTATTATTTTGAATTTGAATAATTTCGAATTTTATTTCTGTCAAAATTCAAGATTTATAATATCTTAATGAATGTGTCAATAAGTGATATTAGCTGAACATTTAAATGTTTTGATGTTTTTTGAAAAATATCTGACAAAATTCTTGAAAGTTAAAAATAGTATTGATGTATTATTCTTAAAATTTTATTGTAATGTTATCACTTAAGTTTATGCTGAAGCATATTAATTATAACAACTTTTCAAAATGTTTTAAAACAAAATCATCTAATAAGAATATTTATGAGATAAAAATACAGAGCATTGAGAAGTTTCCACACTTATTTGTGTGTGTGTGTTGCCAGAGAGAAAGAAAGTAGTTTGTTTCCTGCCTTTCCCTCAAATGACAGAAAACTCTCTCATATGTTATTTTATACCTGAACACCTAGAAAGAAGATCTTTAAGGGCTTGTTCAGTTTTCTTGCAGTATGAAGCACCATATCAAACCAAGGACTTTAGAATTCAGGTGGATTTTGAGAGAAAAACATTTTTATTTTCCTCATATACTAGAAAGATCCTACAGTACAAGAAGGAAACAGAAGATGCCCATTTCCTCATTACAAATTCCTACTTAATAAAGTTAACAGAAATAAGTTTGCTGATGTATTTTAAGACTTACAAATGAGTCTATCTTATGTGAAACATTTACTCTTTCCTACTAGTCTACCACCACAATCTTTATGTAAAGTCTGTTGTTTTGACAAGAAGCAGCATGGCCTTCCTGGTTGAACTTCAGGCTTCTTATTTTTCTAATGGGTCACAATTCCCTTTGGGAATTAGTGCTATCTCTCTAAAAATACAGCAACTCAAATGTTTGAGAACAATTTCCAATACTCCATGACTGCTTGAAATAGATCCATAGACCCAGATGTTTAATAACTGAACAAAGCAAAGAAACTCAACCTGCACAGAGAAAGTAATATAGTTGAGATGGCTTTTGGACAAATTTAAATTTTGCTTTGGAATTGTAGACACTGCTAGAGTTACCTTGTTCCTATCATGATTTCTACCACTGTTAAATAAAGTGATGACTCCTGAAAAAAAAGTATATATATAGCCATTTTAGAAAAAGCAACAGATTATTTTTCCATTATGAACCAAGATATAAAAATCACTATCATCACATGCTTCAACACTTGCCCGTGTGTAAAGAAAAATGCTAACAATATTTATACCAGGTCCAGTTCTAATAAAGTAGACATTTAATGAAATCACCATTGGAAGATTGATCCTTAAGAAAAAGTCACTAAGGATGCACTATAAATGAAGTTCAAGAGAAAAACAAAATATTTCCTGTTTAAAATTCAGTGGGTTTTAATATCTTAAGAACCAAGATACCTCCAACTAGTCTTCTCATCATAAATAAGTTGTACAATATTCTGGTTTCAAAAGATGTAAAATGTTTATCAAAGGTAAAATAAAGGAACAGCCATGTGAAAACCAGTGAGCACAGGAAAGATGCATGAAATCCATACTCTGAAATCACATGACCACATTAGAAGCCAGACCCTTCACACAAATGTCACAGCAGATCCTGTACAGGCTGCCCACACAGACAGAGGCAGTGTCGATGGTGACCCCCCGCCCACCGTTTTCCAAAGTGTCACCTTCGTAATAAAACAGAAATGAGACAGTAAACACACACACACACACACACACACACACACACACACACTTTGGTGGAGCCCTTGAGCAACCCTCTGGAAGTTTGCTGGCTGCTTTCTGGAGGCAAAGCAATGACCACAGAATGTAGCCCAGGAGCAAGGCGAATCGCTTACCCACCCTGCAGCCTGCAGGCTCCAGGGAAGCCCAAGCGCGGTCCCCAGCCCCGGCGGGCTCTAAGGTCCAGAAGAAGCCCCTCTGCTGCTAGGGGTCGCCCGCTGAGCGGGAGGCCGGGGAGTTCCGCGGCTCGGGAGGGCTCAGCCGCCCGGCGCCCCGGCTGTGGGAGAGCAGCTGCCTGGCGCGCTCCGCACGTTCTCACGGCCCGGCCCCGCCAGCGCAGCCGCCGACGCGGCCACGCGCCCACCCGGTCACTGCTCCTCCCTCGGGCGCCGCGGGTCCCCGGGGCCCTGAGCCGGACACCCGGGCGTCGTCTCCTTTGCGTCCTTGCTCCTCCCCAGCGTGGGAACGGGGCCCGGGCTCCCTGGGGCTGGGCAGCTGGGAGCGCAAGGAAATCTTCCCAGGAAGGGTAAAAGGAAGAGCCCTGGCCAGGGGCCCTAGAGACCCGCAGCCTCCCCGCAAAGCCTCGACCCCCCAGGGTAACGCCGCGACCACTTGCTTAGCGGTTTCCCAGACCTGGGGACCGTGTTTCCAGATCTGCTGGAGCTCCGGGGCGCGCCTTGCAAATCCGCACTGTGAACGGAGAAAAAGAGCGTCAGAGGCGGGAGGCAGTGGGTGCCCGAGGGGTCCCTGCAATGGCACCTGTCAGTCCCCGCGCGAGGGCACGCACCGCACAAACAGCCGCGGGGCGGACTCACTTCTTCAACCTGCTCAACAGGCTAGGCGGGACGCGACGTGTCCCGCAGACACGATTGTTCACGTTGCTCTAAAACAATCCGCTCTCGCCTTTGCTTTCCCCCGATGTCGCTCTGTAGCTCTCTTTGTTGACCCCAAAGGATCCCTAGCGGTTCTTTTCCCTACAGCATTCTATTTCTTTTGAGACCTTGCCCCGCCTCCTCTCTTTCTCTGCACAACAGGACTGCAAAAGAAAAAGAAGGGGCCAAAACCCACCATGGTGAAGTCACGCAAACCCTGGGTCACTCAGTCGCAGGCAGCACACACTCCCTCGCAGGTGTCCTTTGCCAGGAGTTCCTTCCCAGGCTGCTCGCTGGTTTTTGCCTCAGGATCTAGTGCAGGAAAAGTGTAGGAAAACTCTGCATAGGAACCTGATAGTGGTTTGACTCTGCGCTGAGTCCCACCCACTATTCTCAGACTGGGGCAGGGGAACTGAGTCCTGGTCTCTGCAGCCGCCCAATCGCCATCCTAGAAATTACCCTGGGGAGACTGACTCCAAAGACAGGAGAAGAGAAGGGGAAAAGAGGGAGGGAGCTCCAGGAACATTTGGCACGCTTAAAAAACAAAAACAAAAACATTTCCTCCACTATGCACTGGTCCGAAAATATTGTACTTTTCCATAATTAAAAATTCCACCATTTCTGCTGGGAAGTTGATATATGCTTGGATGGTTTTCTTGTCCTGGTTTTCAAGTTTGAAGCCAACATACTTCTTTGTGAATGTGATTCTATGGTGCAAAACTTTTGTATCTTTGGAGAAATTTTTTCTTCTTTTGAGAAGGTCCTGCTTCTGCTGGGTTCAATACATTTAATTCTAATATATATATATATATATATATATATATATATATATATATACACACACACACACACACACACATATACATACACACACATATTTGTTTTATTATGGATGTTTTTATTAGTTGCCTTTCTGACAAAAAAAAAAATGGTGCTATTCATTGTGAAGTCACAGTTGATCCTGATCTCTTTGGGATCTGTTTTCAAACCTAGGAACCATGAGACAGATTGTTCATATTTACCTTCTCCTCTGTGAGCTTCCCAAGTCTGTCATTTAGTTTGGTCCTGGTTTAGGCTCTTGGCATTTATACAGTTTTCTCCTAGTCTTGCTTACTATGCTCACCCCATAGCAACCATCAGTCAGAATCAAACAATAAAAGGATTTAAGTAAGTTAGGAATAGGCTTTAAAAGCAATGCAAAAGCAGGTAGCTGAAGAAACTTTTGCTTTAGAACCAGGCAAAATTTCAGAGTTGTCAGGCTGCATTTTTGTTTGTTTGTTTTTTATTTGTTTTCTGCCATCTCAGAAACTTCCTTTACCTTTAATCCATGATGCTTTCTTAGATCAGTAGACCATTCATATTTAGAGGAATACAAACTTAAGACCTAAAAGGAAAATTAAAAAGAATTACATTCATAAATAAAAGGTATCATCATGTTATTAAGTAAGTTAAATTATATGAATGATCAGAGGAAGATGAGCTAACTATCTTCAGAGAAGGGAAATAGTTTCCAAAGGACTAGCATTAACATTAATGCTGAAGATTTGCTCATATTTGGCAAAAGATTAAATAGAAGCTGTTTTTGTGTTTTGTTTTGTTTTCTAGCACAGGGAAACTCCTGAGCAAAAGAGTGCAAGATTGGTAGGCTTGGCACTGATCCTCAGCAAATAGAGAGTGATACCATTTGGTAGAAATAAAAACTACACAAGACCAGGCGTGGTGGTTCATTCCTATAAATCTAGCGGCTCAGGAGGCTGAGGTAGGAGGATAATGTGTTCAAAGCCAGCCTCCACAGTTTAGTAAGGCCCTAAGTAACTTAGCAAGACCCTGTCTCTAAATAAAAATGTAAAAAAGGGGCTAAGGATATGGTTCAGTGGATTAAGCACCCCTGAGTTCAATCCCTGATATTAAAACAAGAAAAAGGAAAAAACTACATGAAAATAGTTTGTCTTACAATTGTTATGAGTTGTGGGTTTGTGTAAAGACTCTTTGGAATTGTTATCTTCCCCTATTGTCACTCACTACTGTGGTCATTATCACTTTCATTATGGAATACTATGGCTTAACCCATTCATTTTTGCCTTTTTGATGCCAAAGTTTATGGGTCATCCAAATTCTGCATTAAAACTATATTTCCTTGATATTAGGGAAATAATCTTCACAAACTAATTAATGAGCATGATTTGTAATGCTGATTCAATGAAGACTACTGAGGGCATAAATGAATACTTGAACACTTCATCTTCTTCCAGAGCCATTTGTCTGTCATGATTGACATGTAGTTAAAGCCTTCCAGCTTTGCCTTTCTGAAGAGAGAAAAGTCATCATGACTACTTAACGCATATGTTAAGAGGGGCAATTAATTATTCAATGTAAAACCCCTGTCCTATGGCTTTGTTGGGTCTGGCTCAAAAGCCCAGTAGGTTTGTGTCTCTTTTCAAGATTCTTTGTTCTTCCTGTACCTACAACTGACTGCACTGCAAAAATATTCAAATGTATAAGAATATTTTCACACTTGCAGATAAAGTGACAATGGCACCAAAGATGTGATTTAAGCCCTCACTACTTCAGGTGTGGTTTGTATATTAGCAACATACAAACATGACTTGGCATCTTGTTAGAAATTCAGAAACTTGGGCACCACTTTAAACCAACTGAATGAGAATGTTACTTTAACACAATCCTCAGGGGCTTCTTATTCATCTTATTCATATTAAAGTCTGAGAAGCACTGACCTGAAATCAATTCATTAGGTATGCTCAAGGTCAAAATGGGCTTTTTTTCTAAATCCAGGGATTTTAAAGCCACTATCTACATTTTTTTCTAGGTTACTATTGCTGTATCTGTTCAAAGTAATGTGAATAATAGGTCATTTCTACTGATTCCACAGACCACAATAAGTTTATAAACTTAGCAGAGCTGAGAGATCAAGAGAGATCTTTTTATTTTTTAGTAAACAAACCACTAACTATATTATTTACCAATTTGAGATGACATCAAACATGAAATATGAAGATAAACTTCTACCTCTTCATTACTGTTTTTCTTTATCCTCTTAGTATTACTATTTTCAGTCTGTTTTTCACACATCTTATTCGATAAATTTTACACTGTAGTTAGCAATAACTAAGGCCATGCTAGCACACTCAAAATGTCTCTTTTGGAATATGAAGTTTTAGTTAGAAATAGCAGACCATTTTGGTTACAGTCTATAAATTTCAAGTCTTATTACATACATTCCTGAAAAAAAAATCTGAACTTAAAAGAGATTCTGATGATGACAGACCTGTTGTCCATTATATTTTGCCAGAAGGGTGGTGTTTGTTAGCAGTAAGTAGAATGGTAGGCAGAGTAATGACCTTCCAAAGACTCCTATGGCATAATTTTCAGAACTTGCAAATGTGCCATGTACTATGTGCTAAAGAGGGAAAGAAAGGGTGCAGAGGAATTAGAATTGATAATTAGTGTATCTTGAAAGAGGGGGAAGTTATCTCAGATTATCTGGATGTGCAGCCAATGTTATCAGAAAGGTCATTAAAAAATAAAGATGGATACAAAAGTAGTTACTAAATAATTTGAAAAGAACAAAAAAAAATAAAGATGGAGGCAAGAAACACAAAGAGTCAGTGGCACAAGTGAGAAAAACTGAACCAGCAATTGCAGACTTAAAGAATAAAAAGGGGCTTTTCCAGGAAACGTGTCACTTTTTGGAGCTGGATAAGGATAGAAAATTATTTCTCTTTTAGTGTCCAGAAAACAAAGCAGTCCTGCCATCACTGTGGTTTCAGTCTAGTGAGACTCATTTCAGACTTGTGACTTCCACAATTGTAGGATAATTTGTGCATTTTTAAGTTCTCATTGGAGTAACCCATTAAGGCTGCAATAAGGAAACGAGTAGAGAAAGGACACTACTGTAACAAGCATCTAAAGGTGTGGAAGTGTCTTTGGAATTGGACAATGGCAGAGGCTAGAACTTTGTAGAACCAGCTTTTTAAAAGACTTGATTTCTTTGAAAGTAATTTTTAGAGAAATGTAGATGTGAATCCTGTTAGTGAGGCCTCAGAAGAATCACAGAAGAGAAAACCTGTATCATTTAGATAAGATATAAATCATCATTAACAGATGGCTAGTAGAAGTATAGATGTTAAAACTACTGGTGGTGAGGACCCAGATGGAAATGAATAAAACATTACTGAAAATTTAAAGGAAAGTATATCCTTGACATATAGTGATAGAAATTGTAACTGAGTTGTGTACCAGATGTGTGGAAATAAGGATTTTGAGTATTTAGTTAAGGAGATTTCTATGTAAGTGTTAAAGACATGGCCTGATATTTATTGTAAAGAAATAGATTTAAAGAAGAACAGTTTAAGCAAAATAGAACCAGAAATTAATTACTAGAGAAATCAGCCTGTCTAAAACTCAGAATGTGCTGCATTATCCTTTGCTCTGATGAACCTATTATTGGTATACATTGATAAGACTGAGATTTGTCAATTCAGAACTCAGAAGTTTTATTTGCAAAGACTGTTAAGAGAATTGGCACAAGAGATATCTATATTTTTATTTTTATTTTTTAATTAATTAATTTAGTTTTATTCCAATTATATATATATATATATATATATATATATATATGACAGTAGAATGCATTGCAATTCATATTACACATATAGAGCACAATTTTTCATATCTCTGGTTGTATATAAAGTATATCACACCATTTGCATTTTCATACATGTACTTAGGGTAATGCTGTTTATCTCATTCCACCATCTTTTCTACCCCTATCTCCCTCCTTTCCCCTCCCACCCTTTTGCCCTATCTAGAGTTCATCTAATACTCCCATGCTCCCCCTCCCAACCCCACTACGAATCAGCCTCCTTACATCAGAGAATACATTCGGCATTTGTTTTTTGGGGATTGGCTAACTTCATTTAGCATTATATTCTCCAACTCCATCCATTTACCTACAAATGCATGATTTTATTCTCTTTTACTGCTGAGTAATATTCCATTGTGTATATGTACCACAGTTTCTTTATCCATTCATCCACTGAAGGGCATTTAGATTAGTTCTACCATTTAGCTATTGTGAATTGTGCTGCTATAAACATTGATGTGGTTGTGTCCATGTAGTATGCT